TTGACAAAAACACCCCCACCCACCCATATATTGTCGGTAGTTGGCCACCATCGCTGGAAGGTGGTCGAAATCTATCGAAATGGTGCACGGCCGACTGAATGTGGCCGGTCGTGTGCCGATCTGGCCTTTTCTGGGGAATCTGGCCACATCCGGTCGTCAATGACGACCATATCCTTTGGCTATAGATTTGGCTGTTTTCGGCCAGATCCATGGTGGACCTGGCCAAAAAAGGCTAAATCAGCGAACTACCAGCCAAATCTAACCGATCGTTTTCCATTTCAGCAACTTTCGCCCACCATCCGGTGGTGGTGGCTAGTTGTCGATATTTAATGGGTGGGTGGGGGTGTTTTTGTTAATTTAAAAACTTTTATTGTAGGGGGTGTTTAGCTAAACTAACAAATATAAGGGGTTAAAAAACTATCTAAATATTTTCAGAAAATGTTTTTCAAAACTTTACGGAACACATTTTCAAACTCAAATCCTATTTTCGTAAAAAAAACCCAACTCAACTTTTTCAAAAATACTATTCTAAATGCTCAAACAAACAGACCTATACTCTGGATAATTATGGTAATTCTAGGTGCACAGAAAAGATGAAAACTCGATAATGTAATATACAAGATTTAGCAAATTGTTAGCAATATTGTATTGTTACTGTCTCTGAGAATACTAACAATTGTTAAAGAGTCAAAAGAAACAACATATACTCTGACAAAGAAAAAAAAAAGTTCACACTTGACCTTGTCTAAGCTTAGAAAATCATTACAATCCACCGCACTACTCAACCTTTACATTCTCAATCTGGTGGAGAAAATACCAAAGAACATATTTTGTCACAATCATAGCATTTCCCAAACCCTTGCTCTTGCAATTCAGCGGTAATAGTTTTTCGTGGTTGCAAATATACACTCAGGGGCGATTTGGATAGGGTTAACATTAGATAATTGGGGTAATATTTTTTAAATTGAGCAGATGACGATATTTGGTTGGTTTGTAAAAACTTATTCTTGGAATATTTTATGACAAACAGTGGCATTTGGGGTGTAAATTGTCAGGAATCTTAATACTTTGGGGGGGGGGGGGCAAGTAATATATTTTGTTTCCCATATTGCCCCTAAATAGTTGAGCATTTGGTCCAAATTAGCCTTATATTTGTTAAGATTTACAAAACACACAATTCACTCATGCAGACCCTTTTGTCCTCAATTTTTAAATTTTTTGGACGACATTACCCTTGTTATTATAATTATTTACAAAAATGTCATTGTACCCAGAACTAGCCACCACCGCCAGCCATCGTGGACCGCTACCAGAGGCTACCAAAAGTCGCTATAATGGCGTACGACCGATCGTATATAGCCAACCATGCGCCGGTGAGAAATTGGGGATGGAAAGCATGGGGTTATTGGAGAGGGCTCTTTGATGAGTTGAATGGTGGGGCTTGATGAGTTGAATGGATAGGTTATAATAAATTGGTGAGTATGTTATATTGATATATTTTGTTAGAAGAAATAAATTGGTAGATATTTAATATAGATTACTAAATTATTCTCCTTTTAAATATTAATATAATATTATTTTTTGAAATTCTTTTAAACTCATACATTTAAGATTTTGCTAAAACACTCTAACCATAAAAAAGTTTAATTTCTAAGAAAATTACCCTCACCCATCCCAAGCCATTGTTGGCTGCCGGCCACCATTGTCAGTTGCAACGACAGTGGGCGGAACGACACATGACCAATAGTGACGTCAGATCTGGCCACCAGTCTTGGATAATTTTTTTCAAGTTCAAGGGTATTTATGTCCTAAAAAAATTGTATATAAGGATAAAATAATCCATGAATATTTTTGTAAATTATCTCAAAACAAGGCATTATTGTCTAAAATTTTTAATAATTAAAGGTAAAATTCTAACAAAATTAAGATTACCAAACAATCTTAAAATACTTAAGAAAATTATAGTATTCAGATTAACTACTGTATAACTAATAATAATTATAATTAGTTTTATAAGATTATCAAAATTTTATATTATTTGACAATTAAACGTGATAATCTAAATAAATATAAGATAATATTACTACACTAACGGATAACCCAACCAAATGACTCTTATACTTAGAAATTTTCACCTATCAGAAAAAAATAATAATAATAACAAAACACGTCTTGTTTGCTTCTCTCAGACTTGGTAAAACGGGTCCAAACCCACGGGTCGACCTTAAACCCAGGAAAAATATAAGGTGCAGCCCACTGAAATTGGACTCGTTTAGTTTCGATCTGTATCTGGACCATCCCATTTTCTCAGCAGGTGAGACAGGTGGCGGTCGCCAGCACCCGTATTTAAAAAAAAAAAAAAAAAAAAAAAAAAAAAAAAAAAAATAAATAAATAAACAAAATCCAAAACGAAACAAACAAAACGCATCCCTAAAAGAATCTTACAAAACATCTATAAATTTTCCTCAGATCTCGCCTTCTCTGTTCAACAAACTAAACCATGCCCTGCTAGCCGTTGTTCCCCAATTCCGCTGTCGTTCCCCAATTCCGCTGTCGTTCCTCAGTTCAGCCAAAAGTTGGCGTGTTTTTGCTGTGTTTGTTCTTTCTCTGTCGAGGTAAAGTTTAATTCAATCTAAACACCTCTTCTCTCTCGACCATCGACTGCGACGTTCGACACGTTCCTACCAATACCATCTCAGATCTCTCTCCATCTGCAATAGATCATCTCTTCTCTCTTCTCTCTTCGATCGACCCTTCCTCATTGTCCGTCGCCGCCGGCCGTCGCTTGTTAGGTAAGACTCTGTCAAGGTAAATATGTATTGTTGTGTGTTCATTAGTTTCCCTTGAGTAGATTGAGAGCACACAAAAATTGATGTGATTCAGCCATAATGGTTTACACCCATTTCAATAAAACCTAATTCCCCATTCTCAATCCCAAATCTCCTTCTACGCAACGCATCCTCAACACTCTGAAATCCAGGTTTTTTTATTTGATCGAAGATAAAATTTGTTTAGATTTGAGTTTGAGAGATTGTAGATGATGGCTTAGTGTGTTACATTCTCAATTCGTACTTGGCAAAATTGTGGCTACTGTTTATTTTTCTCGTGATTTGAATATTTCTGCTTGGAATTTGATATTGTCAGATAGTTTGCACAGGTTATTTTGGGTTAGAACATGAACTTTAGGACAGAGAAGTTCTCTCTAGTGAGAATAAAAACACGCGTAACATAGACATAAAACGCCGCGTTTTATTGATCTCCTAAGTCGGTTTCCCTCGCAGAGAAATCCAGAAGGAGAGAGGAACTGAAATTGAATTCGACACCAGCTCAGACGCATCGCGATTAGAGATGGTGTCTTCCGGCGTAGCGGCACCCACGCGAACCGAGATTTTAGGTTTATATCGGTCGCTACTTCGCGTGGCGCGTGACTTCTGCGACTACAACATTAGAGAGTACACGAAGCGCCGTACCATCGACAGCTTCCGCGAGAATCAGAACCTAACTGACGCCAACTCGATATTGTCGGCGTATCTGGAGGGGAAGAGTCAGTTGGCCGTTGCAAAACGACAGTCTGTTGTGTACTCTCTGTACGCCCCCAAAGTTAAGAGCGTCATGGAACTCAATACTCCTACTATCTAGGTTTTACAACTTTATGGTAACTTGTTATTTGTTTTAGTTTTTTTTAATTATTGTATGAACAGCGGAAAATTTTGAATTGGTTTCGCTTTGAAAATTTAAACACTGTGTTTTGATACAGTAATTGGCCTTCCAATTATTGTTTGGTTGTTTGAACCATAATAAAAAGGAGAACTTGAGATGAGTTGTGGATAGGAAACCTTTAACTGTAAAATTTGTGATATTGAATGTAAAAATTGGAACAATCCTGAGCTGTAGCATAGAATTAGATGTGGGATATGGGAAGATGGGATTTTTAAATTTTCACAACTATGATAAATAATATTGACATTCTAGAATGGGCATTGAGAAATTATTTGTTGGAAGTGAAAGAATAAAGATTTTAAGTTGTTGCTGTAATTGTTGCATTGAGTACACTACAAGAGGGAATGCGTGGAAATGAATATTAACTTGCGAATCTTTGGTTCCTAGAATGGCAGAAAGTTTTTCCATTGCAGGAGGTCCGGAATTCTTAGAGGTTCTGACCAGGGTATTAATTAGATGCAGGAATGAAATTTCTTGTTTCCCTCTTTAAGAATGGTTGATACCATAGCTTGTGGATGATTGCTATCATAAATTTCTCTTTGATTTCTCGAGTCCTATCCTGAATAAAGGTTAAAAATTGTAAAGGAGAAGAAATCATAGAATTGTTGGGCGTATTAAGTTCATCTCTTGTATTTTAGTTCTTTCCTTAGTACTTTCAGTTTCCCTTGTAGCGCTTTGTTGCTTTCTAAGAGTCCTTTTGAGGCTAATAATGCTACTAGAATTACCACAAAACTGCTGTAGAGTATGATTTGATGAATTACTTTAAAGAAAATTGTGAATTGTCTGTATTGCAGTGAAAATGGGTTGCTTGTGTGTCTTAATTCCTTCCAAGGTGAAAGGCAAATCACCAGTTGTATTTGGGGGAGATGGTATTACTGATGATAGTATTGGGGCCTTGTAGCTTCACTGTGTCATTATTGTTATCTTGACGAAATTTAGTGCTTCGACCTGGCAATTGAATAAGGCGAGTTCTTTCTGATTGCTGTGTTAAAGAGAGAGAGAGATTTGACAACTAGGGGATTTTGGCTCAAATATGTATCCATTCAGTAAAATATCGACCAAGGTTAGGTTGTTGGACTGCTTGATATCTCACTCAGATTCAGAAACATTTGTTTGTTGGATTTGGGTTCAAGCTTTAGATTCGATAAGCAGGCATTAAAAGATAAAGGTCCCGGAACTGGGGGCTCAGTTTGCAGTTGCCGAAGAAAAGATAAAGATATGCGGAACTCTATAACAACATATCCAAGAATATTAAATTTAAAATTGATTACTCAGTAATATTGTCGTAAATAAGAAAAAAAATTATTAAAAATGCAGACACATGAAATACAAATCTGTATCTGGATTCATATAGGCAAGCGACGCGGGCAACAACCGTATCAGCAGACTAAGCAAATCTGAAGACTACTTTCCGAGTAAACGACGACCGCGTGCATTTGCCTGTCTCACACGGAAATTTAACTCATCCACGTCATCTTGCACATGACCCAGTTTTTTGTTCTGACTGCAATAACATCAGTTGAATTCATAATTAGATATACGTTCAACAGCCATATCATAATAATCTTTGTTCTGACCTTGTATGCAAAAGAAATGGTCCAGACTGATAATCTACCATAATAAATTGACATGTCAAGTAGTATTGTTCCTCCAACAAAGCATCTCAACATGAGAGGTAAGCAAGAGATGCAAAAAAGACTTAAAACATTACAAAGGAAAAGAATGAAGAATTGAGAATTCTGTGTGAGCAAATCAACACCACTAACCCATCAATTTCAGACCCCATATCAACAGCCATATCTTTCAAATCTCCCAATATATTGCTTAATTCAGAAAGTGCATCATCCTGCTTCACCTTTTCCACCTGTAGTTAAATACAAAAAAATACAGTGATGATGAGATTGGAGTGAAAATGTTATAAAATCAAATGCAAAATGGAAACTGTAAGATGAAAGCATCTTTTCAGTAAATGGAATGGATGATTTCATCTCATGCTGAGGTCTAATTGCTTCAATAATGAAAACAACACAAACCTCGACTTTCTGATAAGTATCTGTGGGCTCAGGCAAAGGAGCTCGTGCCTGCAACTGTCCCCTGGATGCATGATTTAGTCCCAACTTCTCTCTCTGATCCAAGTGGTTACCCTTTCTTTGGACTGGATCATCTGTACAACTAAGCAAATTACACATGCTGTACACTAGGGAAAAGATAAATGAAAGAACAAATAAATAAATAGAGAATGAACACACAAATGAATTCCTGAAAGGACCTCCGGTCTAGTAACCAATGTACTACAATTTATTCTTTAAAAAAAATAAAATAATAAGTAGACGGGATCATGAGTAGAGAAGAAAAACAAACCTCTTGTTATGACAGGGCCCATAATTGGGCGGGTTTTCTTCGGTTTCCAAGTCCTAGAGAACATGCCCCCGAGGCTTCCCAAAAGCTTCTCACCCTGATATCAGCATTGAACAATCATAAATTGTTTTTTTTAAATATATAAGATCAATTCAAAGCATCCAGAAAACAGCAATATATCCGAAGTAATGGTGCAACATTTCAAAACCAGGAAAAAAAGAAAAAAGTACTTTTTAGGTCGACCAACAAATATACAACTAGAAATGATTAGCTCAAATGGCATGTCTAGATGTTTTAAACAGCAATTTAAGTTCATAACTTAAGAGTCTTCATTCCCTTCTTCTCAGGTCATGCAAATCAGTATAATGAGGGTAACATACAAGGACTTGCTAGCAATCAGCTACAAGCATAACATTGCTGATACTAATTACTAATTAGGACAAAAAATATAAGGCAACGGTAAATGAATTGTTTCAAATTTATGGCTAAAGGAACAAGATTTTTTCGTTTTCGTTAATTGCTTTTTAACACCACCATAAAGTCCAAGGCCAGGATTAAAAGAGATAATGTGCATATCACAGGGTAAAAAATCCAATGGGAGCATGTCCTTCATGAGTTTTTTACCCCTTGTAGTTAGTTGTTTAACTTAAAAACGAAATCCATACCCGACTAAGATCGTGATCAATGTCAGCAGCAGTGTGGTGGGTCCTGGTAATTTGTTCACCCTGATGATGCAAGGTGAGCAAAGTTTTTGTAGCATCCTCTCTAATCTCTTCAGCAATCTTCAGGCAGCCGTTCACCGACTTTGTGGTCTCCTCAGCCTTGTAAACAGCATAGTCCTCCAATTCTTGCACTGACTGGTTCTCTATTCCACCTGAGTCATGGAAATCATTCTTGTATCTGTTTCTAGCAGCCGCATTACGTGAATATGAGGATCCAGAAGTGGTCTCTTTTATCTCATCATCATCAAAAGGATTGGTGCCCATACTTGGAATAGTTAGGTTGGGTTCAGAAGAAGTCCTTTTTGATGGTTTAAGAGTCTGCCTATTGTCCCACTCATCGTCAGAATTGAAAGGGTTGGAGCAAGAAGAAGCCTGATATCCAGGATCAGCTGAATTATGCTTACCAACCCTTATGGGAGATTTCTTTAAGCCAAACATTCTTAAAGTAGAATCCTAACTGAATCTGTAAAGTAATCAATTAATGGTCCTGGATAAAACAAGAAAGAATTTACAGTGAGATTACTATGGTGACATAAATAGTTACAATCAACACAGGTTGTTAAGGACTATAAAAAACACAAAACCTGGAAAATTCAAACAAGAAATACAACATCAACGGGAAATAATACCAGAACAAGAAGTTTCTATAAGAAAAAGTACTTTAGAAGAAACCAGAAGAAAAGAAAGAAAGTCTAAAATTATAACCCTGGAGCGGGAAAGGCAGAAATAAAGGTAAAAGTTAAAAAAAGGAATCCATAATAGCAATTGGAATACAACCAGGATATTGAAATGTTACTTACTGGCATAGATCCTTCTTATTCAAATTTTCTTTTCTCCCTTTATATATAATTAACAAGATAAGAGAACATGGGAATTCTATGAAAAAGAAACACAGAATATATCAAAAGACCAAACACAAACAAAATTATCAATCATATCCAAAAGAAAAAATGAAACACTTTAGAAATTACCAAAATCATAGGCTTCAATCTTTATTATTTTCCAAAGAAAAATAACAAAAATAGGAAGAGAAAAGGGATCATAATCCTTAATTGTTAACTATCTAAATATAAAAAATCTAAAAATGAACATAATATGATCATCTGACTGAGTTAACTTGGGGTTGTGTTTCTTACATAAACCATTCAACAGAAACACGCAAAATTACAAATTTTCTCAGAAACAAGAAAGAAAATTAAGAGGCAAAACAACCATAACCTACCAGAGTCAACAAAGCATTTTGAACAACGGAAAAAAAAAAAAAAAAAAACAAAAGAACCCACTAAGATATCATATAAAGGGTACCTGAAACATCAAGAATAAGAACAGAAATAACATCAAATTGACAAATTCAAAGAAAAAGAAAACATGGGTTTTGTTTGGATAGAACCCAAGTTAGCGAAAGAGAAATTGACCGTTAGATATAAACAAGAAAGCACATGTAAACAAACAAAAAAGACAAAAGAAAATCAAAACAAACCCACATAGGGTACAAGCAAAGTAAAGCGATAAACACGAAGCAGAATCAAAACAAACGAATTAAAAGCAAAGATTGAAGTAAAGATAAAAAGAGAATCATAAAATAACGGTATGTACCTGAGAAAAGATGGAGAAAAATCTTGCAAAAAATCAAGAATCTAAGACGAAGCACAAAATGGGAAGTAGGAACAAAGGCTGAAGAGAGAAAGGCACGTATAAATCGCCAATCGCGTGAAGTAAAGACTTTTGAAACTGGAAACTCGTAAGAAAGTTGCTTTAGAGGGAAATGGACTTGGTAATTTTTTTGTAATTTTAATTATTATTTTGGTTTTGTTTATTTATTCCGAAGGAAAATCAATTTCATTCCTAATGTTTGATCTGAATAAATTTAGTCCAGTATAATTTTTTAAATAACGCTTTAGTCCCTGTCACTGTGTCACATAGTGTCATTAGCAAACTTCACTGACACTGACACTGAGGGATGAAATTGTTACTTAAACAAAAACTTAGGGACGATTATGATCAAATATTAAGGGAGGAAAATGTTATTATCCCGTTCTTTGATTTGAAGGATTCAAATATGGAATGGACCGGATCTAATCAAATGAGGCGCCCCACTTTGAAAACAACAAGACACGCCTCATGAGTCATTGCAGGACTTCTTTATGATGATAATTATATTATATTTGCAAATTAATTTTCTATTTCTTACATTTTATAAATAGACTTTAAATAAATGACTATAAAAATACACTAAAAGACTTTAACAGAAAAAAAAAAATTGTTAGTTGACATTAATTTAACATTAAAAATTAAAGATGTAAAATCATAGATACATGTTTGATCATCTTCATTAATGTTGGGTAGGTTTATATTTAAATGTAAGTGAGGGAAGAGAATCCATTTAAACCAAGTTGGGAACATGGAATATACTTTAAATGAGTGAGAGTTCTTAAACAATTATTTATTTACAAATGGAATGGAAAGTTCATTTCTTAAGTTTTAAATTATCACATCATTTGATTTGACTCTTGCCGGCCAATGAACTTGATACAAATCAGATGATTTGGGTGTACTCAATGGCCCTGCCCATGAAAATCAATAAAATTTAAAAAAAAATGGACAAAATTGATTTTGTAGAAGAGGGGGGGGGGGGGGGGGGGGGGGGGGGCATTTTGATTTGACTCTTGCCGGCCAATGAACTTGATACAAAATCAGATGATTTGGGTGTACTTCAATGGCCCTGCCCATGAAAACTCAATAAAAATTTAAAAAAAAATGGACAAAATTGATTATGTAGAAGAGGGGGGGGGGGGGGGGGGGGGGGGGGGGGGGGAACAAAATCAAGAATAGGGTGGAAGTTTTTTTTTTTTTTTTTTTTTTTTTTTTTTTTTTTTTTATCAAAGATATCTGAATCAGTTTGCGTACATCTCAATTAATTTTGAGACTTTAAAGTTAACGACTAGATAAACTCTTTAATGATCACTCTTATTAGGGCCTGTAAAGATTCAAACTTAAGAGCGTATGAATCTATTTTTGTTCTTTTAGGCTTTAGCATTGGTGGTTAATAAATGAATAAATGAGAAGTTATTGGTAACCGTTTTGATCGAGGAAGGTGGGATTAAACAGCTTTAACTTTAGTAAAAAAAAATAAAAAATGGATCACAAATTTCCCTGTACGTGTGTTTATCAAATGGAGCAAGAAGAGTCAATAGCATTAAATTAAGTCATTCATTGACCTTGACATATCTTTTCCAGTATAGGTAAAATAGACCTTAGACAGCAATTTGGGTTAGTTCAGCAACCCCACCACTATCACCATGCCATCACTTTGATAAATTAAGAGATTAATCAGAGATCTGTGGACCTCTGTTTTAAAAACCGGACCGGACCGGCCGGTCGGACCGGTTGGACCGTGAACCAGTAGCTTCTCCGGTCTGGTTTAGGTCTCAGGGGGGTTTTTGAAATATTTTAAAATTATGAGGGTTACTTTGTAATTTTATAGGGGTATTTTGAAGATATATCAAAAGTTTAGGGATTAATTGGTAATTTTATTAGGATATTTTTGGAATAAATAAAAATTTTAGGGACCAATTAAACTTTTTTAGGAGAATTTTTGTAATATATTAAGATTTAAGGGGTTAATATGTAATTTTTTAAAAATAAAATATTGCTGACGTCATCGGTCCAACCGGTTGGACCGATTGAACCGTGACCCGGACAGCAAAACGGTTTGCCCTCCGGTCCGGGTTTTAAAACAATGCTGTGGACACGTTTTTGATTCTACAAGAAAACACTTTCAATGTTTATTTTCATCACATGATTCTTTGCTTTAATGCAATGCTAAAGCTTCCGGCCAGGTTAATCCAAAATGTTACAATCACGCATTAAGAAAAAAAAAAACCCTACTTAACAATCACACCTCTAGGCGAAACTTCAAGGAAGCAGCACTTTAGAACCAAACAAAACTTAAAACTATTAAAAATATCTTCTCAGAAAACCAAATCAAATTATTTACAATCAAATTTCGTAGTGTTATCGCATCAATAATATAACAAATTCTATTAAGCTTTGGCAACTTATTGAGGAAAAAGCAAGAGACAGAATAGAATGTGATACAACTTGCTGCATCGTTATAGCGAAAATGAAATTTATACAAATGGTAGAAAACAATACAGAGGATCCAACTTTTCAAGCTATGTCACCATGAACAACAACAAAACCAATGACATAAACAAAAATACATACCCAGCAACTTGGCAAAACATAACAGTAATACAAACTGCATTTAAAACTAATGCTAATACAATTTTACTTGGTACATATACCTGTCCTAAAGACTGATGTGCGTCATCTGGTAAACCTAATGTGAAAGTAACAGCTTCTAAAGGCTCTTGGCTGAAAAATGATATATTAATTCTTCCTGAGATCAGGCAATCTGCACATTTGAACAGTGTTTTTAATGCACATAAAAATTTAACCCCTGCAAAATAATACAAGTTTTAGATATAGAATTTGGGAATGAATAGAATTTTGTTAGTTACTTTTAACAACCTCTAAACTAAGAGAGTTTGCTAGTTGTGGGCAAAAATTGACATTGATAGAATAATGAGAAAACTTGTATCATATATCCTTTTATAGAGCTGCTGGGATACTTAAGAATTGTTAAGCTCACTACATGGCTACTAACAACTTCAAATGGTGGAACTACCTTCAGGAAGTAATAATAACTTAAATAATAATATTAACAGCAGATTTCTTATGTTTCCTTGTTTCTCTTGGGTTATTCACCCATACATAAGCATCAATAGAATATATAAACCTCACTTCTAAACAGAAACATATTCTGGAATCTAATGAAGAAGTAGCAATTAATATAAATAAACAAGAAGAGGAAAGAACCTGTTAGCAGACACCTGAGTGTGTGGCCACCCACATTTAGCAAGAACCTATCCCCAGTTGCAATTAATCAGGCTGAATCATTGGCAATAAAAACCAAACTTAATATACTTGCATGCATGATGCCTAAATGGTTAATAAGTAAAAACTTGAGATGTTGTTCCTAAATAGAGAGCATATTGATCTCAAAAACATCTGACCACCAAATACAGACAAATTTAATAATGATAATGAGATAATATAGATCAGCTTAATGCTTTTGATCCTCTTGTCAGTATCATCTGATTAAGAAATGCACAGAAAAAACTGAAAAAAACACTTGCAAAAAGAGAGACAAACCTCCACAGCTCTTGGTAGAGCCACTTCCTATGCTTCACGGAGATGTCTGCCAACAGCTGAACATTCTCTCTGTTCTTTTTGAATCTGATCAGGAAGTCAAGATTATACTCCAAAATTTAAGAAAAAAGCCCTTCTTCAGTAACAAACAGAATGTTATCATAACAAAATTACCTGTGCTTCTAACTCAGCTATTCTCTGTAAAGATGCCTGTTCAATGTAAGCACGTCGCTTGCACTCTTCTTCGAGCAAATTGGTCATTTGGTACCTCAACTCAGCCATTTCTTGTGCCAGGTCCTCTGCTTCTTCCTTTGCCTTTAATTTTTCCTCTCTCAGTTCTTCCTAATAACCATATGCATGTTAATCCCGACCAATTTAGAACAAAATAAAATATAATCTCAAAACATGATTGATACAAGGATCTAGTAAAATAATTCATCAACTGATAACAACCCATACCTTGAGCTGCTTCACAAGAAGTTCATATTCACATATTTGAAGTGACATGTTCTTTATCTTCTCCTCCAAATCTGCATCTGGTGCCAGTTTTGAAAGAAAAGCACCAAAGACTTTTCTGCAAAAGCTTCAGATACATTATTAAAATATTACAAAGAATTAAATGGTCAATTCTTCAAAACTAGGTGCACTTCAGTGTATGATAAAGTGTCACTCTTCAACAGTGAGGAACCAAAACTTAGTAGGCTACATTCCTCTAAGCCAAACCTTATGTCATTACAATAAAATTAAGAAAAGCAAATTATCAGACATGATAACATTGTATCTTAACAAAAAATATAAATGAGGTTTGCAATCTGTAACTTACCCCATTTCTTTTGATATGGTGTGATTTCTCTCTAGTTCACTCACACAAGAGTGAGTATTGAGCTCTGTTCTATCCTCCTTTTCCATCCATTCCTCTATCTTTTGACAAAATACCCTAGCATTCATTTCAGAGGTGAGCAGCTTCTTCTTTAGCTCTTTATTTTCCTTTTCTAAGCATTGAATAATTTCCTCTGCATCTTGAATTCGAACTTCAAGTTCTTGAATTAATGAATTCATCCTAGCTTTTTCTTGAATGCTCTTTTTCTGAATTTTCTTAGCTTCAATACAAGTCCGCTCTAGGGCTACTATATCAAGCTTCAAACTCTCTATTTCACACTGAGACTCCAGCACTGAGGCTGAAATTGACTCCTCCAGTTTCTCTATGCACAAAGCTGACTTTTGGATTTCTTCTTCTTTCCTCTGTAGTTCTTCAAACAATAACAAGTGCTGTGAATCAGAGTTCTTCAATTCATCCTCTAACTGAGCTGCTTCATCTTGTAAATTTTCCATGCCTACTAATTTCAACTCAAGGCTGTGGATGTGCTCACTTAAACTGTGCACCTCTTCATTCCTGGCATTCAGTTGATCCTCAAGGTAATCTGTGAAGAATTTGTGATTGGGTTAAGGCCAAGGAGGCATTCACAGACATCAATTCGGAAATGAAGAGCAGCATGCTGCTAATCAGGACACATATTAAAGGAAATTTTCAATCAATCAAAAAGGATACCTCCTAGGTACTGCTCAGATGGTAAAAGGAAACTGAAAACAGTTTTTAAACTCCATACAAACATATTAATAAACATCACAGAGAATGTAACATCTATAGAAGTGATTTGACATCCCACCACTACTCCCCACAACGAGTAAAGGATAAAGAACCAAAAAAACATGCAATTTCTGCATTTATTACTCCTCACACGATGATGATAATCTAGTACAAACATATTCCAACTTATAAAAGTGACTATGTATCAGAAAACCCCCTTTTTTTTTTTTACAAATCTCCTGTAAACTCCAACTGAGCATCGATTTATCAAGGTAAGTTTAAGCAGTCAATGTAATCTACTATTAGGCACACTAGAGGCATTATGATAATGTTCACTATGGTTTGTCTAGCAATAAAAAAGAGCATGATGAACACTTAAAAATGTTTCCATAAATTTTTTTATTTCATGAAAGGGGCTTATGCAAGCCTGTATAATCACAATAAAGATGGTTACTGAGTGCGATGGCTGTATTATAGGATGACTGCAAAAGATGGAATTCCAACAAGCTGCTTCTGAATAAAAGGAAAACATATTCAACAGATGAAATATGAGCCAAAAATCAATTTACAACCTACACAAATGAGTATGAAAGTAACTGCACCTATCTCTTGAGAGCAGTTCATTAGCTCTCTTTCCAACTTCTGAATGTGTTTCTTGTCTTCATTACGAGCTTCTGATAAGGACTTCACATGGAGTTCTAGTCTCTAAACCAATATACATATAAAAGCAGATTATAATTAGCTGAAGCAAGAGAAATACAAGAGATGTAATAATGGCTAATTTATAAAGTAGAACTATAAAATTTCGGGAAACCACAACTTCTTGAAAGGAAAACACAAGTGAGAATTTGCTTTACTGAGCTTTAACTGGTTAATTTATCTCAAAACATTTTGGGAATTGAAAAGAAAACTTAAGCATATGAGACATAATAATGTTATGCATTATATATTCTTAACTGATATGGCAACCAATATAGAATAAAGTACTACCTTGATTAGGTCAAAACTCTGAGATTGAGATTCTCTCAACATATCCTTTTCTTTCCGTAGCTGCATCCAGAAATAAAATTAAATACAGTATCATTTAACTGCTTAACAATCATAAATCAACAAGATGAAATCTCCGATAACATGATGACAACAGCACAGTTAGAACTATAAAAATAAATAAGAGGGTTTCAGATAGTAAAAAAAAAATGAAGGTTTCTCAAGTCATGACATTACATTAGCATTACCCGATAACTAATATCACAAACAAAATAACCAACAAAAGTGAAAAAGCCAAAGTAGAAAACACACTATGTACCTGATTGGACTAAAGGCATACATTCATAAGCGAAGAAATGAAATGTTTCACTATAATCAAAGGAGCATACAAGATGATGTGATCACAAAAGCTCAAAATTCTACCTACAAAAGGACTCACAAAGCCTTAATAAAGGATTAGTAATAGAAAATGACCTGTGTTAAACTAAACCAAACCAGAACCCATAATTTCAGTCAACTCATGTTAAAAGTTTAAATTACATTTCGACACAAATATGCAAAATACAACCTCTAAAATCCAAAAAATAAAAAAATAAATTACAAGTCAACAAAAACTTAGAGCATCGAAAGCATGGCAGAGAAAAACAAAGCACCTCTTTGCATCTGGTCCCAAATTGCAAGAGCTCCTCAACATCAAAAACGCTTTCACTATCACTTTTGGAACTAGTCGACATTTTTACATAACAGAAAAAAAACAAATACCTAAACTAAAACAAAAAAGAAAAAAGAAACTTAAACCAGCTCAAATTGGGATATTTACATGAAAAAAAAAAAAAATTCAAAAAATGAAAAGAAAAATAAGATAAAAATCAGAATATGAATAATTGAATGAGAAGAAACGAATAAGCTATGTAACATGGCGGTGATTCGTGTGATGATGAGTTGAAAAAGGTCTTACCTTTGTACCGAAGGAATCAGGGATTGAATTTGTGATTGACGGAAAACTTTGATTTAAACGTTATTATCGTCTCGATTAGTGTGAATGATTGGGCTACTGGAGCGGACTTCATATTTTGAATGTGAAGGAAAATGGTTATTGCCGGTAATGATTGGGTCGGGTCGGACCGAAAAGATGGCCATTGGCCAACAATGTCTTCTTTTTTTTAATTTAAAAAAATCATTTAGATAATGTATTCTACAAATTTGAAAATGATATATTTTGGTTATGCTAAACTAATTTTCCCAATTTAATATAGAAACTCTAATGATATTAAAAAGTATAAATAATATACAAATTCAAGCATCACAAAATAAGTGGACGAGTGTATATAAAAAATTAACTTAATAATATATTAATTAAAAAGTATATATAGTTTACATATTTAATTAATAAATACTTACACGTTCAGTTTATAAAGATAAAGGATGTTATAAATTATAATAGAATAATACGATAAATAGTATACAACAATAAATGGTAAATTACTTAAAATAAAAAACACATAATTAATAACTAATAAAATCGTTAATTGAGTTCAATAAATTTTTGCGTTACAACAAGTATGTTACAATTATAATAAATAATAGATCTATTAAAATGTATATAATATATATGAGTTATACAAGCATTTCAACTAATCTTTCGAAACCCTAGATCCCATAAAAACTTCAATGATTATCATTATTAGCAACCGATGAGAGATTTGAATTCAAGACCTTTTACACTCAAAAGTCCCTATCAAACCACTCAACTACCCAAAAATAGTTATTTTATATCACTTTCAACTGCTTCACAATTGTTGATTGTTAAAAAAAAAAAAACAATATTTAAAAAATTAAATCAAATATTTAAGATTAATAACTGAACCTGATGATATAATTATGATATTTAATCCAATAGATTCATTAGTTATTCCATATTATAAATCATCAATGAATAATTTATATATTCATTAAGTCACCTCATATTTCTCAAAAAATTTCTAAACAATTTGCCCAATACAACATTACATATCCAATAAGATATCAGAAACACATGGCTCTGCCAACTCTTTAAGGGGATCATGATCATGATCATGTTATAACATTCTATACACAAAGCAATTTTCTTCTCTTTTCTTTTCTTTCCTTTTCTTTTAGGTCATAGACATAAAGCCATAACCATGACAATTCAGCACATTCAACATTCTAAGAAACATAATCCAGAAAAGAAAAATGAAAATGGAATTCACAATACTGGATAACTTCCAGTGATAAATCTCTAGCTTGCACAAACCATTTGAGGAGCAGTGCTTTCTGCCTATTTCTTCAGCATGGCAGCATGCTTCTGGCCAGCGAGATGATAACTGTAAACTGTCTGGCTATTGCATACGACATTACATATAGTACATACTCGGACAGCATTTGCTGCTGCTCCGCCTTCCACAACCTTCTGTTTCTTTGTCTCGAGATCATCTTTTGTTGACTGTGATTCAGCTGATCTCTTCGGTAAATTTTGTGTATCAACACTCTTGCTCTTATCAGCCTCCAGCTTTTCTACTGGGCCAATTATTGGATTGGTTGCAGCTGTTGGGGCAATTGAAGTAGGGGCACTGGTACCATTCTTAGATTTTTCCAAATTTTCCAAATTCTTCTGGTGTTTTTTCCCCTGTAAGTGCTTGACGTACACATCATTGCTATTACAGTTGATTTTGCAAACTTGGCACCATGCAGATTGAACAACCTTGGTCTTTTTTGGGACTTTATTCCAAAAGCTATTATTCTGAGCCTTAATTTCTGCGAAATATTGCCCAACCCCATTTAAAGACATTAAGCCAGCCTACATGGAAAGAAGAAGTTAAGAAAATTAAGTAATCACTAACATTATAGCACCATGGTACCAATAGGCGATAATCAATATCAAGAGGTAATTATGACATCAGCTTTTCTCTTTTACATGTGATGCAGACAGATCACAAGGGCAGTACTGCCAGAGATGTTAAATATACTAATAAGGAATATAAAAAGAATAAGAAAAAACAGAAGAGCAGCAACTATATGGATTCATTTAATCACCTGAGCAGCATGCTTTTTCCCATATAGATGTTTCTTGAACATTTCCTCGCCATTGCAAGCAATATTGCATACTGTACAGACCATCACAGAATCGATAGCTGCCCCACCATTCAGAAGCTTCTGCTTCTTTTTCTCCAACCCCTGAGCAGCAGCCACACCTGAGGCCCCAAATGTCATTTGCCCATTGGTACTGTAAGAATTTTTTAATGTTGCAGCAGTGGGATTAAGTTGGTTTTGCATATTTCTCTGGTGTTTCTTTCCAGATACGTGTTTCTCATAAACATCTTTGCTATTACAATCAATCTTGCAAACCTCACACCGCAAGGGTTGAATGCTCTTGCTAGGGTTTGGTATGCTCTTTGTGACATCACTCACCAAAGATTGATTTGTCCAACCACTGTTCCCTGATTTATTCAAAGTCGTGGACGCTAACGACCCCTGAAAACCACAAATGATGGGTCTGAATAACTAAAGAAGGTCAAAATAAAAGGCATTTGACAAACTAAATATTGCATGTCTATGTTGCAATATAAATGAAGTAATAGAAAAAGAAAAGGAATAAAGCAGAGTATACGAGATTAATATACATACAAATGGCCAGTTGAACAAGCATTACAGTTGAATCTAAAGATAAGAAGTTCATGAGCATGAAATGCACACCCATGTACATGCAGTATCCACTGATATATTAACAAATTCAAAACAAAAAACTGACTTAATCTCAATAGGTAGTATTCATCCTAATAAAAATAAAATCCAAACGAGAATGATTTGATCACTAGGATTCACATTACGCTTGAAAGCACTAAAACTGATTAAGCAATCTAGTTACCTAGTGACACAAATCAGCATAATTATTGAAGAGCATACATAAAGGTCATAAACTAATGCCAACAGGGATAGAATCATAGACTTGCAAGAAGCCAAACTGCCAAAGACACTCAACCCAAATTTCAGGATTTAATCTCCCAAATTCCCAAAGCATAAAACATACAAACTACCGTTCGATGAACAGTACAAAATCACAAAATCTCTACATGTATACATCAAATTTCATAATCTCACCAAACAAACCAAAATTCACCTCAAACACTCATAAAATTCTCAACGTCCCACACATCAAAATTCAGAATCCATCACACAAACCAACATAAACATCATAAAACATTCACATCAATCCCTCAAAACTCTCCAAAATTACACAAATTTTACACCTAAATTATATGTTAAAAAAAAAAAAAAAAAAAGTTGAAAAAGCACCGAAATCTTACAGAATCATATCTCACGGGACCAGCCTGCCTAGTGACCCAGCCGAAGAACCCACATTTGGGTCCTCATAATATTGGCTTTGACCCTCAATCCAACGTGGATTAACGAATACGGACCCGGATCGATTCCGCGGGGTGAACTGTTAGGTCCGGAAACGAAGCGCTGACTGAGAATGGAGTAATAAGATAGGTTAGAGTTAGGGTCCGGATTATGATTTGTGGGGTGATGAGACAAGTATGTGAAAGTTGGTGGCTGTTGCAACTCGTGTCTATTATTGTACATGGGGGTGTATTGTTGCTGTAATAATTAAACTAGGATTAGGGTTTCAGATTTAATGTTAAAAGGAGAAATCTTGAGGTTTAGCATTTCTTGAGTAGTGCAGAATGAAACGAGCACGGGAAGACGAGTATTTTTTTTTTTTTTTTTTTTTTTTTTAATTTATATTTTAAGGAATGAAAGTTTAGTATGATTCGGGTGGGCTAAGTTGGATTGAGTTTTACTGGGTTGGGCTTGGATCGGTCCAATGAGATGGGCTAAGGTCGGCCTCATACTTTAACATGGTTTTCATCTTTACACGTGTGTGAAGTCCAAACTGCAAAATCCAAAGACTCTATGCATCTGAGAGTGAGGCAATAAGTTCTGTTGTCACCCTTCAATTCTTGCGGTAACTTTTAAGACCAAACACCTCGAACTGCACAAAACAAACTTCTTTAATCCTTTATCGACGGGGTTTTCAATGTACAAGCAGACAATGCAGCACCACAAACTGCCAGCTACTAGAGCCAGTGAAGCAACTAAGCTCTGGATTTCCCTAACTAACCTGTTTTGTTGTTAAGAGCAAAAACTATTTTATTGCTTTCACAAATTTTAAACTTCAATAATATAGTGTTTTTTTTTTTTTTTCTTTTTTAATGACGAGGTGTGTGAGTCTGCTTATGTGCATTTCAACTATCGGTCGATAGACTCTAATGACTACCTCTATTAGCAACCGAGAGGAATTCGAACATAAATCTCTTGAATAATACTCGAAGTCCTTATCAAATCACTCAACTACCGAAAGAGTTAATCGATTTTTTTTATGTCTATTTCGAACTAAACTACCAAGTATTAATATTAAAGTTGTGAAAATACGAGAGAGAATTGTTACATAAATCAATTAAACAAAATTACATTTATTGTATAATAAAGGAGAGGGAAAAATGTTTGAGCTTGATTTAATAAGCTAGGGTGTGAAAAAAAAAAAAAAAAAAAAAAAGGAACATGAAAATCCAAATAGAATGTAGCGGTTTGATTTGAGTTTTAAGATCAAAAATACAAAGAACATAACCAAATATAATTTAAATGGATTCATTTGGGTTACTCTTCAACCTGAAAACCCTGAACCAAACCATATGATATGTTTATTATATAATATGAAAAAAAAAAAAAACATTTAAAATAAAATTATCATGAATAAACCTATTATATATGCTTATTATGTAATCCTTGAAGGAAAGAACCCAATCACTAGGATTACAATCAAAACTCTGAAATTTTAATTTAGATTATTGTAATATAAGTATGAAAAAGAAAAAGAAGTAATTTTACATAAATTTAAACCGATTAACTCAAACCTAACCCCACCCATTTAAATTGATTTGAGTTTACAATAATATGAATTGGTTGGGCTTATTTTTTAACACTCAGAAAAATATTTGGTTCCATTTGAGTTTGGGAAAACTCTGAACTAAACTATTACTGATGATTGAGTGTATCAACTAGACGTTTGAATGTATTATTCAAAAGATTCTGGGTTCTATTTACCTTGACCCCTAAAATGTGTCACTGGAGCTCTTACCAGACCAGTAGTTTCAAGTTTCGGAATAGTTGAGGTGCACCAAACTGATTAGACACTCTCGTCATTAAAAAAAAAAAAAACTTTGAACTGAATTCGACTAGTAAGACTGATGTTTCAAACTCTGAGAGATTAATTGAGGTGCATGTAACTGATACAGACACTCTTGATCATATAAAAAAAACCTCTGAACTGAACCGACCACACATGCCCCTAATATAAGCTGTATCGATCTTCATTAATGATGAATAGCAATGTGTCCCTTTTCTTAGCTCAAGTCAAATTAAATGGGGCATCAATTATGCCCAAGACTTTTACAATTTGTCTGTTCATTAACTTTTGATTATTTTTATTTTAAATAATTTACTTTAAACAAAAAGTATAGAAAACATTTAACTTTTAATTGTTTTGTAATCTTATAAAACGTTTTAATCTTACGATTTGACAATTTCAATGGTATTAAAAAGAAAGTGGTAACAAATAAATAGTATTAAATTTTTAACCCACTCCTAATTAAACCTAACCTAATGGTCCCAAATCCCAATCATATCATCTTCTGGCTATTGTTTTGTCTAGATTGATTTTTTTTTTGGCATTATTACTATTTTATGATTTGGTTGGATACAAAGATTGTTAATCAATTCGCTTGGTGAACCAACTCAACCCAAATGCCCACATTTTAAAAGTATCCAACCTTAACCCAAAGGATTAAACTGACGTCAAGAAGTTTACTCATTTCCTTGAGTTTTGGTTCACTTTGGGATCATCTACCATAATAATATTGTAATTTACTTGATCTTTTGGGTTTGTAAGGTGTTCAATAGACCCCGAGGTCGCACAAACTATAGCTTGGCACTTTGTTTAAAAAAAAAAAAAAAAAAAAGAGGTGATTCAATCTCTAAGGCATAATAATAACCATGATTATTTTTAATCAAATTTGAGATTAGTCTTTGCTCAAAAGAGAAATTAACACCACTACTAAATTTTTGTGAAAGTAAAGGAGAGAGTGTGATGGGTTGTCAAAGTTTTATGGTAGGTGACTAAACAACCACCTTCACCTCACATGCCCATCCTTGTGCACATTATAAAATTTGCTTTTTCTTTTTCATGACTTCATTCACCTATCCTATTTTCAACACCTTCACTCATTTCTCTTTGTTCTCAAGATAAAATTATTACTTTTTTAATTCATATTCAATTTAGATCTTTTCTTCATCTTAATCTTTTCGATCTTTTAAAGTATTCGTGACGCGTGGTAGGTTCTTTTTTTTTCCGTAGAATTACTAATTATAAATTTATATTTACTTCAACGGCAATACTACATTTATAATCCAATCTTATAAATTTTTTCTTATAAATGAGTCATTCGTCTTTATCGGGATTGTAAGAGAAATTTTATAAGACTGAATTGTAAACTTTAAATACATAAACATCGGATCCACGACTTTTGAGCAAATGCGGACAAACATGACAGCAGGTTTAATATGCTGAAGTTTTGCAGGAATAGAGATTTTATTGTAATGAGCAAAGTGTAAAGAGAAAGAAGACAGAAAACGAAGTGACAAAGAGAAACTTACAAGTGTTGCATAGTGTTTTGTAGAAAGTCCTAATGGTTTAAAGGACCTTGGAGTAATCTTGAATGTGTAAAAGAATAAATGAAATAATAAGCAGAAAACTTGTCTGTACACTCTTGAATTTTATTTAAAAATTTGATTAAACCATGGCCAGGGGACCAAGAAGGTCAGTTAGAGATTAAGCCAACAAGTGCTTCATGCTTGTGACTGCTAGCTATCCACCATGGCTTGAACCCGGCCAGATGACCATTGCTGCTCTCTTCTTCAACAGGAGCAGGCAGATTAAGATCAAGAAAGCTTCGGATTTCGGGTGTCGGTTTCTCAATTACAATGGTTGGATTGTTCCTAGCATCATTGCCATTGATTAAATGGGATCTCTTGTGACCTCCCAATGCTTGGCCTGATGAGAAAACCTTAAGGCATATTGGGCACTCATGCCTTTTCTTTATTGCCCCATAACTTGTGTCAGCTCTCTCATCACAATCTGCAATTGAGTGAACAGTTGCATTCTCATTGTTAATGGATTTAATGATCTTACTATCTGGTGTTGGGTCAGGGGAGAGTTCTTTTTCAATACTAGTCTCACTGCTATCGATTTTCGAAGCGAAACAACCTTTGATCTTTTTATGGCTAGCTCTATGACCACCAAGAGCTTGGTATGAATGGAAGATCTTGTTGCAAGTAGTACACTCAAATTTGCTTCTCTTTTGAGAATCCTTGTGGAATTCAGTATCCAAAACATCAGTTGTTGATTTTTTCATGGAACCTGACCCCAATTCCGGATCAAATGAATCGTGAAGCTTTTTCTTGCTTGAATTGAACTTATTATTGGAACCCAAATGAGCTTGATCTGATCTAGTTTCCTTCACTGAATTTCTCCCCAATTCAACTTCAGAATTCTCATCTCCAAATTGATAATGCAACTGAGACTTCTTTGTTCCATCTTTCTTGACAAATCCATCAGTAGAAGCGTCAGTTTTGGATCCCCTTCTTGAAATCCCACAAGCAGAATACTCAGAGTGTCTCCCTTCAAATTGGATATTATCAGAATCCACAAAACCAGATTTCAACTTCTTCTCTTTCAGCCTTTTCAACTTCACAACCTCATCACCACTACAAACTGAATTCTTAACCTCAATTTTAGCTTCAAAATACACAGAATTATTATCAGAAGATTCAGCGACAGAATTCAACCCACCTCTAGGACCTACATCCCTCGAAAGCATCATCAAACACATAGCAACCTCTTCTTGTTCTTGCTCAATCTCCGACACAGAAGAGGAGCCACTATTATGATTATGAGTATTATTATTAGCAACTGACAAAGCACAAGAATTTGCAGTGGCCATGTACCTTGTTCTTCGTTTCGACCGCCTTCTTCGATTTGGAGCTGCAGTTTCATTGTCAGATTGGCTATCCATCACCAGCTTCTCATTACCACTAGTCCAAGAGTCTTGATCCTCAAAGCTAGTGTCTTTCTCTGATTGAGTAGAGTTCATGTTACCAACAGATGCTTTCCAAGAAAGAAACCCTTTTTCACTACTCTCTTTGCAGAACTTGTCATAGATTGAAGTTTCTTCTCTTGAATCTGCAAGTCTCCTAGACTTCTTGGGGTTCTCTCTGAGACCATAACCAGGGGTTTCAGAATTCCAGTAGGAGCCAATATGGTTATTAACAGACGATGAGAGCATCTTCTTCTTCTTCTTCTTCTTACTGAACTTATCAAAATCTGTTGTTTCAGCTGAATTGTTGTTGATCATATGAGACCTCATGTGACCACCTAAGGATCTACCACAAGGGAAGCTTTTGCTGCAAAACTTGCATACATGCTTAAATTCTCGATCTTCTTCCATTGACGTTATGTAGAATAAAAAATTCAAAGAAAGACTTGAAAGCACAGAGATCAGAGAATTTGACACAATGCTAACAAAACAGAGTTCCCAATGAAAAAGAAAAGTACACCCAGATCAGAAAGAAGGTGAATTTGAGTGAGGGAATTGTATAAGAACAAGATCTGTTTGTGTTTAAACAAGAAAAGTAGAAAGGGTAAGTGAGTAGTAAATATTAGTAGTAGAGGCAGCTAGCTTTTCTCTCACACACTAGCTTTTCTTGTGGTAGCAATGAAAGTTGAAGAAAAAATCAAATATGAAGAGGTTAAACACCTTTGTTGCTAATGATGGCGATGAACAAGCCAAAGAAGAACAAATTAAAGGAGGACAACGAGAGAAAGACTAAGTGGAGTGAGCGTTTCTCTCTCTCTCTCTCTCTCCCTCTCTATACATCTCACACAAATTCACTATTTTTAGGAGGAGAAATCCATGCATGGAAGCAAAGATTAAAAAAAAAAAAAAAAAAAAGAGGTGTAAAGAAGAGAAAAGATAGCAGCACGTGTACTCAACTGAGAATCCTACGCCACTTCAAATCCAACGACTTACATTTCTCCATTTAAAACTAAACTATTCCTTCCTTTGTCTTGCTATACACACTCAAACTCAAACCCCTTTTTTCTAATATCTCACCGTGACAATCTAGTGTTATCGACTTTTGATAATCGTACCGAAACAGATATTAAACGGTCCAATAATATAACTAATCTCGACCCTTTAACAGGTGTTAAAAGAGTTGGTAATACAGCAAGTAGGTTTGGTTTGGTCCCATAAGTGACACTTGTTTTATCTGTTAAATTCATCTGGTGGGGCTGATTTAGTAAGTGAGGCTTTAGCAGACCAAATTTAGCATGTTATAATTTGGTTGTGACATTTTTAAGAGAAGGTGTACTTTGTGAAGATCTCTTTTTTTCCTGTAAATACATTTAAAGGAGTCTGATAATATATACACATTGTGGCTTTTTACTGGTGCAGCTATTATGCTGCCAATTAACATTTTCATATTTCCCCAGTCCAGTGCATGCTTATTGTACATCTTTTCATATCACCAAAATTTGCTTTTAACTTTTGTTTTTTTAATTTTTGAGAAGAACCCATTTGCTTTAAAAACTTACAGAATTCTTAATAGGGGAGATGAAAAATCTTTCAAGTTAAAAGATGTAGGTGGGTAGTCTTAATAAATAGAAAGCATAGAAAGAACATGGGAACCTTCAAGAAAAAGAGGTTTCATTCTGGTGATAATCCACATGCCTTGGAGAATTCTAATAAGAAAGCCAATGAATTTAATCTTCTTTACGAAATTTCACATCTTCCCAGGTTGTTAACTGCAAGAAAGATATCTAGCTAGCTCTTTAGGTTTTCTACAATCTTTTATCAAGTCAATGTACTGTATATATTGTTATCCAAGTAAGTAGGCATTAAGTTTATTGGCCAATTTTTTACTTGGGAATAAGCACTTTTGAAAAAAGATAAAAGATACTAGTTAAATAATCAAATCAATTGAAGGGTTTCATCATTTAGAGATGACTAAACGACTTTTTCCCACCCAAGGTTTGCCTTAATGACACTTTCCCACCCAAAGTTCATATTCCGTTTACTACCCAGAATACACTTTCCGATTTGATGGCCAATGGAGAGCAAACTTGATCCAGGATGTTGAGGCTTTTGAAGAGGTGATACCGGTGAGTCTCTTCGTGGTCAGAATTGGTTGGAATCTGACTTAGGATAGGCGGCTGCACATTTCATAAATTGCAAGATTGCCGACGATTGGTGGGGTCGATGGGAGCAAGGTTTGACAGGTTTTGGTGAGTGGTGTTTGGGGAAGAGAATGGTGGTAGTGTGGGGTCACAAAGATGTTGGAATCGGCCGGCGATTGGTCGGAACATAAACTTTAGGTAGGAAAGTGGTATTTTGAAATTTTTTGGATTGAAAAGTGTCATTAAGAAAAGGCAAACCTTGGGTGGGAAAAAGTCGTTTACTCTTTAGAGATCAATGAAACAAGTCCCCATGATAAACGCTGTATAATTAATTAGTAGAAGCTGTCTGGGTTTTTGGGTGCTTAGTGATTTAATTAACAAGATTAAGATTTGGATGTTAGCTCATGTTCAGTATAGCATTGTCAAGTGTCAAACTAAACCAACCGGCCTTTGTGTTAATCATGATTAAGCCGGCTTTTTGTTGCGCTAATCCTAATGTTGATGTCTTATTAGCAAACTACTAATCACCTCTTGTTTGTGCTGAATCCCTCCTTTTGTGCCCTCTTTGCCGGCACTCTAGTACAAAGTTTAGCTGTAAGTTTATTATATAAATCTACCTTCTTTGTTATCTCCATGAGATGGATGATAATAAAAAGGTGTCAATATACAGGTGATTAGAGAGACATTAATAGCAGAATATTAGCTACCTTTTAACATAATAATAAATTTTTTATATAAAGATCATGTGCATACACATTATTATGTATTCCAATGCTTGCTGGCAAGTGACTTTTTAGTTTTTACTATAAGGTGAGAGCCAATTGTCCCATTGCTTTTGCCTTTCCTTTTCTTGGCGATTGTATGATATCAACAGCTTCAAATACAGTATTATTGTAATATCCTAAGTTGTTAGCGAATGAATCTAGGATTCAATTTACAAGATTTAGGTTCGTCTAAGTAAATGTGTTTTGGGTTCAAAAGAAAACCCGTATGGGTTTTGGGTTCAAAACGAACTGTATTTACTTGATTGGATCCGAGATTCTACAATTATGGTAATCTTTAATTTGGGTTTTAATTGATTAACTTGGTGATTCATATATAATTGTGGCATGTTAACAGTGGCAACAAGGTACAGAGACAAAGACAATAGAGAAAACTTGAGGGGTAAGATGAGTTTTGGTTTGGTCCTGAAAAAGTGATGCTCAAACTGACAAGTAGACACCTTAAAATGAAAGAATTGGCCATCCTTTAATTTGTCTTCTGCAACGGCCAACAGGCCTCGTAATGTATATGATATATCAATACACTAAGATAAGATGCCTTATTTTGACTTTATGCTTTGGCCATTGCTACCTGCCTCTTCCTCTCTTATCTCCATATTCATCACCATCCTTAACCTAATCTTAAGCCACCATTGGTGGGTCACATGATCACTTGCTCTTTTAACTGTTGCTTCACTAAAGTACATACCATATCCACTGCTCGTCCAACTTCTAAATATCCAAAATTATTCCACAAGATTACTCCAGCATTTTCCCTTGTCATTACTAAGACCAATACAACTTTATCATCTTGGTCAATAGGAGTTTCATACTTCCATTGTGGAAGAAAATAAAAAGTAGAATCATAATGTCAATCTCTCTCTCTCTCTCTCTCTCTCTCTCTCTCTCTCTCTATATATATATATATATATATATATATATATAAAAAGAGAACATTATAAAATAATGTACACTTGATTAGTATATATAGGAATATGCCACCAGTTAATTTCTACATTTTAATGACTTTAATGAAGCTGATAATTAAATGCAAAAAGTTTAGTTAGTTGCATAAGTAAAGATACAAGTTATTGGCATGTGGCTTCCTTCTCCAGTAAACGATTTTTTTTCCCACCCAAGGTTTGCCTTAATGACACTTTCCCACCCAAAATTTCACAATACCACTTTTCCATCCTAAGTTAATATTCTGTTATTACCCAAAGCCGATTCGGTAGTGAAAATTCTCTTCATCACCATCATTTAAATTTTAGGTCTCCTCTCTACAAACCCATCTTATCCGACAATTGATTTTTCTTTGATTAACCCCCATTGCAAAGTAAGAGTTTTCTGTTCTTAGCTGATTTCGGTGACAAGTATTCAATCGATCATCACCATTCGATCCACCAGTCTTCACTCTATAAAACCTCTCTTAAGCCTAACTCTTGGTAAGTCGCTGAACACCAGCTGAGAAAGTGAAGTGTATTTTGGGTATTAATCAAACATAAACTTTGGGAAAGAAAGTGGTATTTCGAAACTTTTTGGGTGAGAGAGTGTCATTAAGGCAAACCTTGGGTGGGAAAAAGTCGTTTACTCCTTCCTTGTGTAAATGAAGCAAGTGTTTGATTCTGGGTTTCCAAATTTCTTCTTTGGTCAGCTAATAAAAGTGCATTTAATTAGGCCGACACCCATTACATTAGTGATTAATTAAAGATATGAAGTCAAAAATAAGCATTTATATCTGTAAACCTTTCAATCAAATCATAAACCAACTCTGTTAACTAGTTAGCTTCACAAAGACATCATGAAAGATTAGTAATTCAAATTAATTAAGAGGAAGATATATCTTTTTCAACTATCAAAGTAAATATGTTAATATTTACAAATATTTGGTAAGAGTAAGAGAGGAGGCAGAAGATAGATGAATAGTTTAAAAATATATATATATATATAAGGGGGGCTAATGATAAAGGTGCATGTGTTGCTTGCATATAGGTAATAATGTTGCATGTGTATATCGATTAAGATCTCACCAGAAATGCTTTGGGAATACTCCAGAAAAAAGAGTCTGTGAAATTCAAGAATGGTGGGAGAACCCAATAATGTATATTATAAGGGACCCATTTGGTACTCAGTCAATTCTTTGAATTGAATGGAAGAGGGAAGAAGCTGACTTGGGTTAGCAGAAAAGCATTTGTTAATTTGGTGGTTTTAGGTAACACAAGCAAAGAACTTATACATTTTCTCTTATCCCATTACCCATGTGGTTTTTGAATCAAATATTGTTCATATAAAGACATGTATGATTGATTCATTTCTATATATCCCAACTCCCTTCAATTTCCTTTTTTTTTTTTTTTTTTTTTTTTTTTTTTTTTTTTTTTTTTGGTATTTGAGGGTGTTCGGCCAACTTGTGCCCACCTCAACTAGTTCTTTGGGTCCCTGACTTACTATTATAAACCCTCTAATAGCTACCCAACCTTATTACTAATCGTGGGAATTCGAATTCAGGACCTCTCCTAAGTAAACTGTCAAGCTACCTAGAGGAAGTTAACTCCTTTCAATTTCCATTCCACCAAACCTCAAGAAATTGAGTTTGTATTTCCAACCATGGTAGTTAATTAAGGAAGAATTTGCTACAAAAATTCCACTTATTAAAGAGCAAGGATTAGGAAGCAAGGTTTGTGTAGTAGTAGTATACATTCGCAGTCAACAATTGAGATTTGAGAATTTGAATAACATAGTGCCATCTTATCATCATGAAGACTGCTCCTTTTTCTTGAAGAATTGGGTAAGAAATTCTGTGTAGATTCACTGTAGAGTGAGGTATATTATGTCAAGTTGTTGAGAAATGTAGTTAGTTTGAGTGGGAAAAGCATCTCTTTATAGCTTAATGGGTCAATAAAGAAATGTGGAGAAATTTAGAATAATGTAACGCTAATAAATATTTAATTT